AAATCTCATGAGAGGACTAAAGCCAACAATGTGTAAGTCCATCTATCAATACTCTTCGACTTCCTCAGCCTGTAAATGGGCTCAGTCCCAAGCCAATTTATTCTTATGAAAGATATAAATCTTAAACCAATAAAAAAACCAATAGAGAAAATAATTTCTCAAAACTGCAGAGCCTAAAAAAGGAGTAAATGGTGCATTTGATGGGGACTATTTTCATCTGTGGATTTCGTGCACTAGCATGTCTTCACAGGAGCAGGTTGGAGAATGTGGAACTGACTCAAAATAAACCACAGTGCCCACGGTCATTCTAATGAAGGAACATGGTTCATTTATGGTTCTTTTCAATAGTTTTTGGATAACAGTGGAACTCTATGGCACAGAGAAATAAGATACATCAGGCTTTGGCTTAGTGGGATCATTTCATTATCGCTCTTTTATAGGGTTTGTTGACAGTAAGAAAAATACAGGCCTGACTTATTCTTTAACAAGAGGATGCTAGGAGCTGTTACATTAGATTTATTATTGTTATTGGTATTATATTGGTAGTGTTTTTCAGCACTCCCACACATCAACATCACATCTCTTTATTGCTACAGTTTTCAGGGCACCTTCATGTTAAGATGCATAAACTTAATTCAATTCATGGCTTTTAATTGTATCAGATATAAATGTATCTGTATCTCTAATGTATGTACATATTTTTTGTCGCTTTTTCCCTTTTATAGTATGTCAACATATGATATTGTTAAGTATATAATATATATATTGTATAGTTGTAGTAGTTACTTTCAATGTGTGTATTTGACTTCACTCTAACCAGACGCTGTGAAAGAGATTCATCATATTTTGCACCCTGTGAGAAAATGTAGTAGACTATAAGTATACATGACATTCAAAGTATACTAAGTATACTACGTTTACTCAAGAGTGGCATCAGACCACATTAACAGGAGTCCCAGAAGAAGACTTGAAAATGGTCTAAATTATGGTCTAGTGCCTCTGTGTTGTGAATATATCTTGGATGTGGCTGGAAATGCCTGGAATTTAAAGTATAGCCAAATACCCTGAATGCATTGTTATGCTTTCAACCTGCTGCTGGGGTCCTCAATTATTCAGAATCCTCCTATCTGTCCATCAGCAGCTGTGGCTCTGTGTTGGTGTAGAGGTTGGTGTAATACAGGACGATCTGCATGAAATCATAATCCCGAGACTTCTATCCTGGTTCTCGGATTGAAAAATGTATCCAGGTGTCCATTCACTATTTATTAGACCCTGACAGATGGTGTATAGATTTCAGTGCCTTTCCTCTGTAGCTTGGAGACAGCCCGCCCTTTCTTTGCACAAAATATTTTTTTCCGGTTAGAATACAGTATGTGTAGTATTTGTGGAGGTGTAGACTCATAATGGTTTATGTGGAATCACTGAGACAATGTTATCAGTTTGAGGAAATGTGTTTATGGTAATATCTCTGGCCATCTGGTCTAGGGCTGAACAATTAATCGAAAGGTTATCAAAATGCTGCGATATAAAAATCTCATGAGCTACAATTTTTTGATAAAAAAGGTAATATGTGTCACAACATACCATTATAAATGAATGCATTGTGGTGCTACAGAGATGCTCCGGCCAACAATTCAATTCTCCAGACATAAGGGAACAAGCTTGTTTGGTACAGACCCCAGATGATGTATGTAGCCAGACCTTTATATTGTTACACACAGCAGCTATCATCACACTAAACTAATACGCCAGGGTGAACAAGGGTACGTATTCAAAGTTACTCTGAACTCTGTAGCCAAGACTTCAGCCAGAGAAGAATGTTGAATATTAACTTAGGAATGTTCAGAGCCACTGTTTTAAAATTTATCTCTTTCTGGTATTGTGAAGTTTAGGTAAGGATGACTTTGACTTTGTCAAAGAGAACTGTAGTTAAGTTTAGGCTAATAAAACACTTGCTTAGGTAGAAATCATTTAAGTTATTAGAGGGGCAAATGTTACTTGCAGCTCTGTGAGACAAGCTGCAGTCTCCTGCATTAAAGGACTTATTTGTAAGTTTTGATATTGTGAGTTCAGCATCAAATTGCATTCTTTTAGTGCACCAGTGGTGGAAAGCAACGGCACCGTTAACTCTTGTCTCCATCACGACTTTTCGTCTACTGAAGTTAGCACGCTAACCAGCTAGCCCCGGCCCGTCTCATCACTTTCTGATAGCGACTCACTGTAGACTCAAATCTGCCCTGAAGACGTAGCGTTGCTCAGAGGGCATATAATAACCGCTTGTCTTGTAAACGGTCGAATGATGGCCGAAGCTCTTGTTCAGCACCACCCACTCCCAGCAAGAAACCACGTTTGGCGGCAGAGAAAACTTCCAAAGTCCCCCTTTAAAGTTAGTTGCGCTGTATGTCCAACCACAACCTGGGATATTAGGCTGCTGTAACAGGCATAGTGGGCTTCACCACTTTCCTCTGCACGTTCAACACACTGGGCACAAAAGTTTGCTTCTAACTGCAGTCACATCAAGTACCAGGGCATTTCTGATAATAGGTTACGAGTAATTCAGTCAATAGACTCTTATAAGAGGGCACTGAGAACGACTGGAACATTGTGGGGCAAAGTGCTGACTGCCTTTTTATGATTGTGGCTGACCACATTTTTCTCACAGAAAAATTGCTGACACAAACAAGTTACAACAATGTGAAAGGCCAAAACAGAAGTTGGTCATAAGAAAGCAGTGATTCTAATAAGCAGGTCAATGGGTTTAAACCTCACATCCCCACCGAAAGGCAAAGGTTTTTATGAGATGGGCTGAGCACATGTGCTACACACCACAATGTTTCATATCATCAGTGGAACCATTAATGGCATTCTCCCCTGACAGAGCTGCACAAAAGTAATGGTGCAACTCTCTGCTCCATCATGTCTCACCAGAAACTGGTGTAGTAGCCAACAAGGGGCCCACTTTGATTGGCAGAGGAACAGCATCAGGACCTCTATCTTTGTTTTCTGTTTTTCCTTTGGATTGAAACAACACAAATGCTGAGTGACACAGTAGGACTCTTCTTCTTTCCCATTAAAGCATCTTATGTGACACAGACATAGAGAGACATCTAACAGGTCCTCACTGTCTCATCTCCAAAGGGTCATTATGTCTCGGCACAGATGCTTCATAGCAACATGAAGAACCGACGAGACACTGATAGCTGCTGCCACTTCACCACCAACCACTGGGTACTTACTATGCAGACACAGCACAAGAGCTCCTGTTTCACTGGTGGTGAAGGGTGCCTCACTTTCAATATTCAGCCTGTCATTGTAAGGCTTCACTGGGGTTCATCTATGTGGACAACTGAACAGGAAGTAGCGAGGTTAGAGGCTTCACTGACATCATGTGAAAGATCCATAAAGCCCCCCTCTCTCTTCTGTCTGCAGGCATAGCATAGCAGGGTAAAGGCACAGTGTTGTGCAGTTGAAGTTGTATGGTTGAAACAAACGTTTGCAGGAAACACCTATGTTAGCTCAGTGGGCAAAAATAAAAAAATCATACCTCATCCACTTTGTACATTGCTGGCAATGTAGATTACAGTGCAGTATTCCACACAGAATATTGGTCAACTCTGTGGGGCAGGATAGATGGTATTAGGCTACTCATATCACACACTATTGAGGGATAAGGCCAGAGCTGGGGTAGCAGTGGCATAAAGGTTAAAGAAGCTAGCTTGTGACTGGAAAGTCGCCAGTTTAGTTCCTGGTCCTGGAGTGGTGGAGCGGAAAAAGCAGCACCCTCCACTTTCCTCTTACCAACTTGACCAAGGTCCTTAACCTGCAAACGGCTCCAATGGAGGAGCCTGTGGTGGAAACTGTGTGAGCGTGAAGCTGAAAAAGAGAGCTTTACTCTCAGCAACACTTCCATGATTGAAGCGCGGAGAAAAAGACTTCATTGTAGTCAAAAAACAAATAAATAAATAAATACTTGAATGATTTCCTCTACTGAGTTTAAAGAGACAGGGGTCTGGATTCACAGTTGAGTGTGATGGCCTTTGGTCTTTCTGAGAGCTTTGATATTTCTTTCCCCTCTTTTTGCTTCCTCTTTTAGAGGATCTTAGTAAAGCAGCATAACTTTTGGTAGTGGTGGTGCTGCTTTTCCAATGGTTCAACTTCAGCATGCAGCCTACCTCCTGTTTTGACTGACACCCTGTTAATGCATTGTTGGCGTGAAACAACACAAATGGAAATCTTAACACGGGAGATTTAAAATCACCAAATTGCTCATCATGTGCTGACATATGAAATGACCCTATTTTCTGTGCCCTAAATTTTCAACAGCCAGTATACATTTAACTTTTATATTACTACAAGTAACAGCCAAACTCTTAAATTTTAAACAAGCCTAACAAAAGAGCCCTCTCACAGAAAATTGCACTTTAAAATGATCAAGCAAATCATGGTGGTTAGTTTACCCAAGAGAAAATAACAGATTGGGTGAAAAAAATGTTGTTCTGTTCTTAGTCTCTTTCTCTCTCACCCTCAACTTGCCACTCTTTATATGCAGACATTAACAAAATCCCTTATCCAAATGAAAATGCAGTAATAGCTTGCACTCATGATTGAGAATGTAATTAGTTAAATATATAATGGCATAATAATATAATTTAGAAACCTTACAAATAATTAGTGTCACTTGGCATATTGTTCCTCAGGAAAAGGAAGGCAACACAATAGCCTCAGTGACAGGGTAGTACTGTGGGAGGCAGAGAAGGGCAGATAGAGAGAGAAAAATAAATTAACTTCCTATAGAAGGAGCAACTTGAATCAAATAAATTTTTGGGCAAAATGTTATATAATAATATAAATGTTACATTTACATTTATTATATTCAGCCAAGCTCTCGCAACATATTACAGCATTACTCCTCTTGTCTTTACAGTTTCATCCTTCGCGGTCTCCCGTCTAGTTCTGCAGTACATTTCTGATCATGTGTTTGTGTTGTATGCTCGCCCCAGTTTTACAGATGCTTCCAAGCCCTTCTGCGTTGTGACACTCCTCAACGAGGCTCCAGCTTAAAGAGCTCCTCCAAGGTCGTCACCAAGGCCATGAGAGGTCAAGCACTCAACGGTCCCCGACGGACCAATGACTTCCTATTTATGGTAGCATCCCTTGGTCAACCGGCCACCACACTGCCCCAGCTGGGCGCCTCCTGTGAACCCACCATCGACATCACTAAAGCCCCTTCTTCAGAGATCAAACCTGTCGTAGTATCACTGGTGGCCCACTTTGATGGCTGATGATCGAGGGATTTTTTATGGTTATATCCAATGTCCCCAGACAGGAAGTCATGAATAATAAGAGAGGTGGTGTTACTGAAGCTTAGAGAGCAGCAGTCCAAGTGGACTGCCAGCACAAGTGGATTTAACACGGCTGTTAACATCAACTCTGCACCGACGAGTAAAGATGATGGACCTGTTACAAAGGGATATCTTAAGACTGCCTCTGGACAATATGAGCTGAAATCTGAGGCGGTCAACCTGCAGCTGCTGGGAGTGTTTCTCTGCAGAAAAAGAAAGAATACATCTGTCTTGCTAAGAGTGAGCATTTGAAGGATGCTCTTGTCAGGATTTTTGGAGGGAGCACTGTCAGACTGTTATGGTAATAGAAGAGGAATTGTAGGGATCATTTATTTTGTGCAATATCTAATATTCAGTAAGGTATTCACTCATAAAATGTCATAGCAGAAATATGTTCACAGTGCGGGAAGAGAAACAAAATGTATTGATTGGTTACTGAATGTGGTTACAAAGTGAGGTTGAGGAACACAAGTTGTTTATAACCCCATTCATTTTGAAGTCTTTCCTAGAGTAGACAAGATTGAAAAAAAAAAAAAAAAGAAAAAACTGAGTAGGCAGAGTAATGAGAATGTACTGGTAATGATTTTAAACTATCAGTGTTTTTGCTTTGATTCCCTGCCACTAAATTGCATTTCAATAATCACTTTGAAATGCATAAGTGGTTTTTAATTAAGTGGTTTAATAAGTGGTTTGTTGTACATGTAGCATTGCTAGCATGCTAGCGACAGTCACATATATTTTTCGGGGATAGTGACTTTATGGTCAAAGAAATAGGTGCATGTTGAAGAGTTACTGTATAGTTCCTTCAATAATGACTCTGCATGCAAACTGTTGCAGTTTAATGTGCAAATGAGGTCAAAGAAATGCAATGTCTGGTAATGTTCAGTGGATAGGCAAAGGCACAAATCTTGGCAATGGGTGCCCCCCTGAGCCGATTTCTTCATGGTTTTCAATTACATATTTCCACATGTACATACAGCTGTGAAATCTTTTGTTGTTGTTGTTGTTGTTATGCTGGATTTGGTCAAACCCAAAGTGCAGGGTGTCCCGTGTATTTAAAAGTGATTGAGGTCACAGGCCCTTTGATGTGACAGAGTGAACCTCAAACATCCTTGAAATTGTCAACAGTTCAGTGCCTTGCTCATGAGCACAGTGCATGTGGACAGGTACCAGCCTCTTCTCATAATATTCAAACTACTTGCTTTCATAAAAGTCACTCTATTGTGTTTAACACTCTCAATAATTCAACTCAATAATTGTCATCATCTCTGAAAATACAAAAGTACCAACAACTGAAAGAACAATTCTTCTACAGTTTCCCAGAACATAACAAAGGACTTTATCTGAGGCAACAACATCTGTTAGATGGAATAAGTTTGTTGTGTATATTTTTTTCAATGTGCTCGTCTGCATCTTGTTAAATTTTTTGATAACTGATTTCATACTTTTTCCCTCTTGCAATACAAAGATAAAAGTTTCTGAGAGCAGTGCATCAGTGCTGTGTTGTCAGTGAATGTCTAAACTATAAGTGGTGTGGTACTTTTCTCTACTGCATACAATCAGTGTGTGCAATTTTTTTGTAATTCACGTTAAGCACACAAACTGTTTTCTATGTGCTGTCAAGATCTTGGATAGATTAATGTACATGAGTTGATACCAAAGCTAAAGAAATTTTAATATTTTTTGAGAAGTGCTGTTCAATAAAGGTTTTTTTTTTTTTTTAAATCTAAATTGCTGTGCTGTGCTTTCTTTTGATGACGACTTGCTTGAAATAGAGAGTGATCAAAATTAAGGAGGCTTAAGGTGTATTATGCAGGATATGGAAGATGGTCAACCGTAAAGGTATGCAATATGTCAAGTAGCAGGATAGTCATATGTAACTGACCGTTTGTTAAGCTATGATTTGTCAGTTGCTGTTTGGGGGAGGGGCTTAGCAGGCCGTGTGCATGGGACTGTAGTAAAAGCGATGCTCCATATATAAAGACTTTGGGGGGTGGCATCTTTTTTTGATAAATTTTCCAAAACTAAAATTACAGAAGGAAAAGGTGATGAATTGATTAAATGGTGTATTGGTTTGCTCTAAGTTAAGGTGAAAATATTAGCATGTCCACCTAACTAGCCTATTACCTACACTTGTAACATACGTCCAAGACTAAGTAGCATTTTATACTACATTAATTTTGTGTTACAGCTTACAAAAAAAAAACAGTTCATCCACTATTTTCCGACTGTTAATCATAGATGCTACTATAACAGAGTTTAGGGTAACGTTAGCTTGTTTTGGCCTCGTCTTGCTCTTTGTCAGATTTTGGGAACACTCCAGCATCCCCAGCCAAACCCAATACTAACACAGCAAAAACATCAGCAAGTCCTCATTCTTCAAGCCATTTCCTTTGTGCAGTTAGAAGTTAAATAGACTGATGAAAAATAAAGCATAAATCTAACTTCTGTCTTGCTTGTCTGACCATAGCTAAGAAGCCAAAAAGAGGGTTATGCTACGTTGATATACGAGTCTGACTCTGACTCTTTTCCTCTCGATACTTAAAACATCAGGTTCAACGGTATACTCTGATACAAGAACAATGCTGTTTCTAGATTTCCATCAACTGGTGAAAATACTGTGTTTTTGCTTGAAATACAGCTTCAGCCTCAGATTTTTAGCGTAATGAAGGCATCAAGTGCATATTTAAAGTGAGTCAGCAGGAAACACTACAAAGTCAGAAGTAGAGGGTGTTCTCAACCAACCGAGTTAACATTAGCTAAATGAGGCAGCTGCCTACAGCTGATAAACTCTGCTAGCAACAGATGTCATTTCAACCCACTTTGGTCTTTTTGTGTCTGAGAATATTGGGTGGTAAACCTGCCACCATTAGAACTGTAAATTGCGTTATGTGCCGTGCGAGGAAGGAGCTTGACAAGCTTGACAGGCGGAGAAACAGTATTTGGGAGGGTGGATCAGTGTTCCCACAGAATTAGATTCTATTTGTAGCAGTGGGGGAGGAAGGGTGGGTCAATCAGGGTTGATCTAATGTTGTGTTTTGCATGACACCAGTCCTGGTACACACACACACAGCACGCTTTCATCGCGCACACAAAGGGGGGGCAGTAAAGCAACAGATAAGCATTGTAAAAAAATGTTTTGGCCAGTCTGACTATAACTAGACAGACGGGAGGGAGGGAGAGAGAGGGGGGGGGGGGGGGGGGGAGGGAGGGAGGGAGAGAGAGAGAGAGAGAGAGAGAGAGGGGCTGAGCAAATGCTCTAAAATGAATCAACAGGACAAACACTGCACTAGAGATCTTTTATGTTATTATGAGAAGTGCAAAAATACACACAAATTAGACTGCGGTGGCAAAAGAACAGATTCTGGAGAGGTAGAACCAGGAGAGACGGTCCACTAGTCATTTGATCATGGATGGCATTGTTTTCTATCAGATGAATAAAAAAGAAAAAAGAAAAATGCTAAAAATGGGTCGTTAATATACCAGGGCGGCACACCCAAGTAAAGTCTATGTGTGGGAAACACTGGTGGAGGCAGAATGCAGTGTAATGTTTAAAAAATGTAAATAGTGAACACTTCCATTGGAAAAATAAGGAGAGTTAAATAAAGGGTACCCGGGGTGAACCTAGCAAGCTGCAAATGAAGTTACTGTCTATAATCTAATAGACAGATTTTCCAGGGGGAATATTACATTTCAGGCTACGTCTTACATCACGATTTTTTTTTTCTCCTCACTGAAGACCTTCTGTCGAGATGGAACTACCTCTGAGGACTTAAGCCACCCACGTTTTAGATTCACACTCAGAATCAAAACAGATGTCTTATGACTAACTACCAAAACTGTCCAATACAACTGTACCAACTTTCTAATATCAAGAAGATCCATTTTTATCTTCAATCTTTGTACGAAATCTTTTCACCCTGGTTACCTAAAGTACATTCAGTTATGTAAATATTTCATCTTGATACAGCCTGGATAAGAGAAGGTTACACAGAGACGAGAGCAGCCGAGCTCATGTACAGTTTGGTTTTTTTAACCACTGAGTGACAGCAGCTGGAGATTAAAGGTCACCTGGCAAACAGTAGTTACTGAATCATGTGTGATGGATGTCCTGAAATTAAATTATGTGTACTAGAATCACAGGAAATAGTAAATTGCTTCAATATGTAATTACAGAATTGTCAACAAATTGAGGTAATTAAGTATCACTAAAACTGTTGTGACATGAAGTTAAAGTAATAAAACACTGGCATTTTGGCAGCCAGTCACTGACCCAGTCATATTTTATTCATGGATACACTATTGGAATAATTAGATCTAATACAATATGGACTGTGAGAGAAGTTGCCCTTAAGTAACCTTTGTGTTAGTAGATAACAACCAAAAGATTTACAAGAGCTGCACAAACTAACCCATAAGCCTGTTCACTGGAGACTGAACTTAAATTGGCAGTGGGACTTCGAATTTTGAACAAATCTCTTCTCAACGCTGATTCTAAATCTTTTCCAGGCTTCAGTGCACCTTTAGGGATGTTCTGCTAATTGTTTTTGTGTAATGCTTGGTCTTCGGTCTCCGCTGTTTACTATAAAGCCCCTGGTGAGCAGCGATAAGAGACTACCCAATATCAATGCGGCTGTAAGACGGCATTGTGGTGATGGACTCCATTAACCAGAGGCTCAGGGCGTAATGTCTGATTAACTAGTTGAATAGCCTCAAGGCTGGACTGAGGCTGGGATGAGTAGAATCAAAATGACCTTTCGTTAACAACCTTTTGTCAAAAATAAGAGCCAGTCAGTTGTGTTGATAAACAGTTACCCACTAAAGGCCTGCATCCACATTGATTTCCCTCTCTCTTTCAACACCTCTCTCTGTCTCTCTGCACATGCGTGTGTGTGTGTGTGTGTGTGTGTGTGTGTGTGTGTGTGTGTGTGTGTGTGTGT